TGTGGTGCTGAGGAATCGAACCCAGGGCCTCAGGCATGCAAGGCAAGCGCTCTACCACTGAGCCACCTTCCCAGCCCCTTGTGAGACTCTTTTTCTCCATCTAATCACCAAAATAAAATCCAGAAGTGGTGCTAGAGCTCAAATGGTATAATGCTAGTCTTGAGCAAAAAGGAGCTAGGGTTCAAGCCCAGGACTGGCAAAAGAAAAAGAAAAATGACCTTGGGAAAATGTCACTTTGGTGTATGTAAAGTATGAAGTGCCTGCAGAGTATCCACACAGCAGTGTCAGGGAGGTAGAGGAACACTTTTGTAGCTTAAGAGAATGAGACTGGCCTACAGGATTTGGGAATTGTGAACATAACATTGGTGCCAAAGGATGTGGGGCCAGGTGAGATCTTCCAGACTGAGAGCATGAGAGTGAAGAAATAGGAGCTGTGAGCTTGAGCAGGGTGGCAGAAAGAACACAAGAAAGTGAGCCAGGAAAGAAATAGCCAGAAAGATAAGACACCAGAAGGATGCAGATAGGAGTGAAGGAGGGTAAAATCGAGGGTAATTGACAAGTTTCAGGTTTGACAACTGAGTGAGTAGTGTCAGTCCGGGAGATGTGTGTAGATGGGGAGGTGCTTTTGAGCCTTCTAATGGGAATATGAGCTGACATTTTGGCCAATGGTGCCTAGCCATTCCTTACCACAGTGTACATTCCTGACTCTCAAATATAGACTTTGGGGAGTCAAAAACATATAGGGTGAAATAAGTCAAATATTTGCCCAGCACACACTATAGGCATTTTCCTAGGTGCTAGGGCTATACCTGTGAGCAGGACCCTGCCTCCTGCTCTTGCAGCATACACTATGTAGGGGAGAACAGACATCAGACAGGTTAACATAGAAGGGGTTAGGAAATGTGGAAAACACTTTTTTTTTTTTTTGGTTGCACATGGAGCTTGAACTCTGGGCCTGAGCACTGTCCCTGAGTTCTTCAGCTCAAGGTGAGTGCTCTACCACTTGAGCCACAGCGCCACTTCCATTTTTTTTTTCTGGTAGTCAATTGTAGATAAGAGTCTCATGGAGCTGGGTGCTGGTGGCTCAAGCCTATAATCCTAGCTACTCAAGAGGCTGAGATCTAAGGATCACAGTTCAAAGCCAGGCTGGGCAGAAAAGTCTGTGAGACTCTTTATCTCCAGTAAACCACTAGAAAACCAAAAGTGACACTGTGGCTCAAGTGGTAGAGTGCTAACCTTGAGCTGAAGAGCTGAGGGACAGCACCCAGGCCCAGAGTTCAGCCCACGACTGACACAGACTTTCCTGCCTGGGCTGGCTTTGAAATGCAATCCTCAGATTTCAGCCTCCTGAGTAATTAGGAATACAGGCGTGAGCCACCAGCCCCCAGCTTGGAAAACACTTTATAGGTATCTTAGTCAGGAAATGTCTCTCTGAGGAGGAAACATTTGAGTAGAATCTTGGAGATATCGATGGGGTATAGGCAGGAAGACAGCAGACAGGGAAGAGCAGGAGGAACAGCGAGAGGGCTGGGAGCAGGAGTGGAGTAAGCAAGGGGGAAATGATGAAGTTGGTAGCCTGATCTTAGGCTCAGAGGCTGGAAAGTCTTCTAAAACAGCCCTGGATGCTGGAAGGACAGGAAGTAGCAGAAGAGAATCAGAACAAGCCTTTCCCTTCCATATAGGCCCCAGAGCCAGGGGGGGAAAGCAACCTTTTGTGCAGAGGGTGAGTGGCTTCTTCTGGGTGGAGGAAGGGAAGTGCTAGATCCTGAGCTCTGCTCCTTCAGAGAGGGGTCTGGACAATGGGTCCCTTGTGATTTGACTTGGGGGCCAAGTGGCCCTCTTAGTGACAAGATTCTTTAGCCAAGAGGCATGTGACCCTAAGGCCTTGGCTTCTTGTTATAGGGTCTGGCTGGCTGCTGGGGTGTGGGATGGAGTTGGAGAGGTGGGGAGGGGGCTACTGCCCTCTGGAGACAGTGCCCAGGCCTCTCTTGAGTTGGAAGAGGCGGAGGTGGGTGGCAGAGGGAGTTGAGGCTGTGCTTGGGGGAACTGGCAGGACAACCATCAATAGAGGGTCCCACCCCTGGCTGGGAGGGAGGAGCTAAAGCCCTGGGGTCCAGTAAGCAGAGACAAGCAGAAGAAGACCTAGCCATCCTTTTGTCTGTCTTGTGTCCCTTCAGAAGAGGAGAGAGCATGGAGTTGGAAAGGATTGTCAGTGCAGCCCTCCTTACCTTTGTCCAGACACACCTCCCAGAGGCCGACCTCAGGTAGGAACACCAAGAAGGGCCTTACTAGGCCCAGAGTTGTTACTGCCAGGCAGAAGTATGGGCAGCTAATAAAAAGACTGATAGAAGCACTCAGCCCTGGCTGTTTCAGAAGTGAGGAGGATTGATTTTAATCTAGTGAGATGAATTTACCTCTCATCTTGCCCTTGTTACTTTCACTGGACAGATGGAACCCCAAACTGAGGGAGTGGGGGAGAGGGGATACTCTGGCCTCAAGGATTGAGGTTTGATTAATGGAGTGTCTAGGTGGGCTGCTGGAAATATCCAGTGACTTATCCAGGGTCTGTTCTGTCCTCTTCCTGCAGTGGCTTGGATGAGGTCATTTTCTCCTATGTGCTTGGTGTCCTGGAGGACCTGGGACCCTTAGGCCCCTCAGAAGAGAACTTCGATATGGAGGCCTTCACTGAGATGATGGAGGCCTATGTGCCTGGCTTTGCTCACATCCCTAAGTAAGGCCTGGCGGGGACCAAAAGGAGGGTCTTGGCTGGTTGGAGGATGGAATAGACAGAGTGGTCTTCTCATGACCTTTTTCCTTTCAGAGGCACAATAGGGGACATGATGCAGAAGCTGTCAGTACAGCTGAGTGATGCCAGGAACAAAGGTGAGTCTGGTGCTCTGGCACTTGGGAGATTCATAGCCCATCCCCCAAAGTCCTAGCAAACCTGATGCCCTCTCTCCCTCTTTAAGAGAACCTATACCCACAGAGCTCCTATGTCCAAAGTCAGGTGTCTATCTCTCCAGAGCCCTTGCAGCAGCCGGAAGAATGCAATGAAGATACCAGGTCTCCTGCTGCAGCTGGGGATACCCAAAATGAGGTAGTGGGGGAGGTACCAGTGAGGAGCCTTGGGAATGGGAAAGGATGGGAAGGGAAGAAGTGGGGCCTCTTGTCAACATTTGTATCCACAGGCGGCTGGCAATGAGGAGGAGCTGCTGCCAGGGGTGGATGTGCTCCTGGAAGTGTTCCCTACCTGTTCAATGCAGCAAGCTCAATGGGTGCTGGCCAAAGCGCGAGGGGACTTGGAAGAAGCTGTGCAGATATTGGTAGAGGGCAAGGAAGGGCCTCCAGGCTGGGATGGCCCCAATCAGGTATCCTGTCCCGGCCCTGGCTTCCAGCCATGTGGCCTCAGCTACAGTCAATCTTGATATTAAATCCACACTCCTTCCTATCCCCATCTGTTTCCCTTGCTGGTGCCACTGGGTCTAGCTTAAGCTTCCCCTCTCTTCAGGACCTACCCAGGCGTCTCCGAGGCCCCCAAAAGGATGAGTTGAAATCCTTCATTCTTCAGAAGTGAGTCTGGACTGGGCTGGGCTGAACCCTAGAGGGTCTTCCTTGGGGTGGCCGGAGCTTTACCCAGCCAGTTTTTGGCAGGTACATGATGGTGGATAGCGCGGAGGATCAGAAGATTCACCGACCCATGGTTCCTAAGGAGGTAAAGGGCTGGGATCGCTGATGACGTGGAGTTGGTAGGTTGGCTTCTGGCTTCTGTTGCTCACTGCCTGATTGTCCAACAGGCTCCCAAGAAGCTGATCCGATACATCGACAACCAGGTAGTAAGCACTAAAGGGGAGCGATTCAAAGATGTTCGGAACCCTGAGGCTGAAGAGATGAAGGCCACGTACATCAACCTCAAGCCAGCCAGGAAGTACCGCTTCCACTGAGGCACTTGCCGGACTCTGCCTGAGCCTTCCAGATCCTAGAGGTCTGCAAGAGCTGACTCCTCCACAGAGGGGCTTCCCTTACCTCTGACCCCCTTCTCTGAATACCCTACTTCCTGGCTCCATAGTGTTGACCTACTCTTGGAGCTGCCTCCACAGGCACAGTAAAGTGGCTCAGGGAAGGTGTGAGCTCTCTCTCTGGTCATTTCTGCTGCAGGGTTGGGATACTATGCCTATCTGACCTTATTTCTCCAACCTCACATCCCCTGTCACCAATGGCAGACCAGCCAAGAGAGGGCAAAAAGCTCTTTATTTGAAGTTTCAGGGTAGGCAAGATACTGGCCTCTTCCAACAGGTCCCCACAGTTTAATTTCCTACAGCTCAGTGTTAGACCTCAGCCACACAGTCCAGCTGTGCACCCACCGGCAGAAGGTTGTATCAGACCTGCAGGTTGACAAAGGGTGCGAAGCCTGCCATGTCCTGCAGCAGCACCAGGGCCTGGTGCAGTGGTGGTTCCACGTCGATGTCCACACCCCGCTTCCTCAAGCGGCTCAGGCTGGGCTCGGCCACATGGTGGCAGTGCCGTACCCTCAGAGAGCGCAGTGCTGGGCAGTATTCTGCCAATGTCCTGAGGGGAGGAGTGAGGTAAAGCTAAGAGGCCGGCCTCCACACTCCAGAAGGGCCCAGCCCCACTCAGTCTCTGGCTGCCTCCAGCCAATTCCAGTTTAGGGCATGTCCAGTTTAGGGCATACTTTTTCTTGTCTCTTAGAGGGATCCTGCTCTTAGCTCCACCCATGACTGCAGGATTTTCCTCCTCTTGAAGAAATTCAAGAAAAAGCCTTCCTCTGTGCAATTGCCCAATGTGTAAATATTGGTTCAAAAATTTAAAAACTGGCTGAGCCCAAGTGTCTCATGCCTGTAATCTTAGCTACTCAGAAAGCTCAGACTAGCCGGGTGCTGGTGGTTCACGCGTGTAATCTTCGTTACTCAGGAGACTGAGATCTGAGAATCACAGTTCAAAGCCAGCCCGTGATGCTCTTATCTCCAATAAACAACTAGAAAACTAGAAGTAGCGCTGTGGCACTGGCCTTAAGCTGAAGAGCTGAGGGGCAGCGCCCAAGCCCAGAGTTCAAGCTCCACAGCCAAAAAAAAAAAAAAAAGGCTGAGACTTGAGGATGGAGGTTTAAAGCCAGCTGGGACAAGAAAATTCGTGAGACTCTTAACTCCAACTAATGACAAAAAAAAAAGTCGGAAGTGGTGCTATGACAAGTGGTAGAGTGCTAACATTGAGTAAAAAGAGCTCAAGGACAGCTCCTAGGCTCAGAGTTAAGTCCCAAGACCTACCAAAAAAAAAAAACTTTCGGGACTGGGACAGTGGCTTAGTTGTAGAGTGCTTGCCTTGCATGCATGAGGCACTAGGTTCCATTCCTCAGCACCATATAAACAGAAAAAGCTGGAAGTGGCACTGTGGCTAAGTGGTAGAGAGCTTACCTTGAGCTGAAGAGCTGAGGGACAGTGCCCAGGCCCAGAGTTCAAGCCCCATCACGCACACACAGTTTAAAAACTGAACTCTAGGCTGGGAATGTGGCTTAGTGGTAGAGTGCTTGCCTAGCATGCATGAAGCCCTGGGCTCGATTCCTCAGTACCACATACACAGAAAAAGCCAGAAGTGGAGCTGTGGCTCAAGTGGTAGAGTGCTAGCCTTGAGCAAAAGAAACTCAGGGACAGTGCCCAGGCCCAGGACTGGAAAAAAAAAAAAAAAAACAACTGAACCCTTGCTTAGATAGTCCTAGAGTTTCTGTTCTTAGTGCATAGCGTGTGGTGACTACGGCCAGTTCCTACCTAACACCGGGGTCTGAGCGGCCTCTTCCCCACCCCCCACCCCTACCTCCCCCGCAGGCCCAGGCACCTGATGCTATCGCTTCCTACTCGGAGGCAGCCAGTGAGGTCGAGGTGCTCTAGTTTCGGGCAGTTCCGAGCTAATTCCTGGACTGCGGCATCGCCAACGTTGGCGTTGACCGCCAGCGAGAGGCTGCGGAGGCCCGCACCACGCCTCTGCGCCAGGTACACGATGGCTTCGTCCTTGAGCTGCCGGCAGGCAGTGAGATCCAGCTCCTCCAGGGCGGGGCAGCGGTCGGCTAGGCCACGTAACGCCAACCCGTCCACCCAGTCACAGTGCGCAAGCGACAGGCGCTGCAGACGGGGGCAGCCCCCAGCCAGCATCCGAAGCGCATGGCGGCTCAGTTGCCCGCAGCCAGCCAGCGACACGTTCCGCAGCTGCGGATTCCGCGCCAGTACCGGCACCAGGTCTTCGTCCGATAGCCATTCGTGACACGGAGCCAGCGCCAGCTCCTGCAGCAATTCTGTGTCCCGAAGTAACCGGACCAATGCGGCCCGTGGGATCTGCGGACCCACCTGCAGGCAGAGAGGCACCGGGACAGACACTACCTATCCACCCCGAAGTTTTCCTACTCTTGGGGCTTGCCGCCTGCCCTCCCCAGAGAGCCTCCGTGGCCCCTTGGAGCAGCCGCTCCAGTATTCGCCCTTTTGGAGTACTCCATGCTATGTGGATCGCTTCTCCTGCAGCCCGAATGGGGAAGGACTTGCAGTGGAGCCGGGGGCTGCACCAGAAGCTGCACAGGGGTGGTACCCCGATGGGACACCCCGATGGGACCGGGCTCCACCCCCCTCCACTCAACCCCCCCCCC